GGGCGGCCCGGAGGGCGGAGGAGGGAAGCAGAGCCGCCGGGGGTGCCGCAGAGGGGACGGGGGGCGCGTGACCGCGCGGGAGGGCAAGGGAGTGACTGCGCTGGAGAGTGTAAGAGGGCGGGCGGAGGGCGGGAATGCGGGAAGAGCGGGGACCGTGAGGAAGGCCGGGGAGAAGGGGCAGCGGGAGGGGGACCAGTTGCAGTGCGCGGAGCAGGGGTGAGAGAAGGCACCGAAGGGAGGACGGCCGGAGAGGGGAGGGCAATTGAAAGAGCAGCAACCCAGCGGAAAAACACAAAATCAAAGAGAAATAGAAATAGGGAGGTGGATATACAAAATAAAAGATGGTAACACAACATTAGAGAGGCAGGGGTGGAGGCTGACGGGGCTGTGGTGTTGAGGCTCTGGATCCTGATGATTGCTCAGTGATTAAGTTGTGATACATTGGTAGCTTTAAAAATACATCTAAAATTCGTTTCAGTGGTAGAGATAACACTGAGAATTACAAAACTTCTAATAGGCTTGGGCAATTTATATTCTATGTCAGAAAGTAGTTTACATTTGCAACTTCTTTTAGCCTGAGGGCAGTGACCCGACTTCGTCAGTGGTGGGTCACCCCCTTCCGTTTACCTGGTGTGGGTTAGAGGTTGGGTAAGACAAGTGTGGACGAAACGACTGTCACTATACGGTGCTCTTTTTAAGGGTACAGTAAAATGTCTGCTTTGTTTTTTAGTTTCTTTGTAATGGAATTTTATATATGTACATATATATATAGACACTTAACATTTAATCCAAAATTTTGTAGTTTGAGATAAATGTTAGTTCTTTCATTTTCTACTTACTTATGACTCCCAAATAAGTTTTGGTGGCCTTTAATGAACTCATGTCATTCTGTTATGAATATGATATATTCTAAGATTTACTTTTGACATCAAAATGACTTAGACTTGAAAAACTTAGTCATCATTTCCTTTTTCAACTTGTTTGTGGTGTAAGTCAGGCCTGCAGGCTTTGACCCCTATATCTTCTGTCTTGGACGTGTTCTTTGGTCACCAGTTAATAATTTTAGACTGTTTGATTGGATTGGGTAGTTGGTAGGGATGTCAGTGATGTTTTAAGAGTCAAAGACTAATTTAACCAGTTTTGTAGTACTCAGTTTTCTTCCCTTTTATGTGATTTATTAATATAGTGAGCTATCACCTCAGAGTAGTTGTTTCCCGCTGGCCTCTCGTCTTTTTTCTGCAGTGTTGAAGATGTGCCGATTGACTTGAAAGCTCTGTGCAAGAGCCCAACTATGTCTGGTGCAGCAATATTCTCAAAACAAAACCACACCCATCTATAAAACTGAAATGCCAAGAAAATATGTTCAGAACTTATTTCTACAACTTACTCGTTCAGTGTTGTGCACACCTGCAGTCACTTTTTCACAATTCTGCATTTTAGAAACATTTCACAATAACTTTCTGGAAAGGAATTAAGTGTTGGTATCAGGGTGAGAACCTGGATGTGTAATCCTGACTCGAGGATGTTACTTCAGTCAGCAGCCACAAATGGTAGCATGTGCATCTGAAACACACAAAGGACCCACAAACACAGGTCTTCTATGCACTCTATTCTCCCATCTTTAAAAGAAAACGTTGATGCACAAACTGCAGCAGTGGGGACCCTGGCTGTCCCCACACCTCTTTTCAGGTCACAGACCCGGCCTTGATCACACCCCATGGAGGCCTGACACCCCTCCCTGCAGCCACCCCCAGCCTCAGGAGAGGAGGCTCAGCGCCCTGGTGCTCACTGCTGCACACAGATGACATACGTTAAGGCTGGTCCCGTCTCACCACCTGGAAGGAGAACCTCTGGTCAGGTGACACTATATAAAGATTTTCATGCTGATAGTAACACTTAACTCCATTTCCAGGAAATAATTGTTAAAATATTTTAAAAATACAGAATTGCAAAAACATAGCTATACGTGTGCAAAATATTGAAAGAGAGTTAGTTGTAAGCTCTGAGCAGATTTCTTTTTAATTCACCTTTATTGATGCGTAGGTTTTTGGTGCAGAGTGTGCAAGGGCTTCCCAGGAAGGCGGGATCTGAAGAGATGGTGGGGGAACTCACTGGTTGGCCTAAGGAGGCTTCTGTCCGCAAGTCCCTCCTGAGCAGTGGGCAGCAGGGACCGTCCTTACCACACTGGGAGGTCCCCCCATGTGGTTGTGGTGAAGGAAGGGAATGCGATGATGACTCTAAGCATTAAACTGGCATGTTTACCACCTTCAGGATTGGCTTCTAAGAAAGACTCATGTTCCCTGAGGCCAGAGTCCGGAAAAAGAGGAGGAGGACGGCAGAGAAGGAGCCGGGAATGGCTGTTCCTCAGGTAAAGTCCCTACCCTTTGGGTGAATTTCTGTCTCTCCCTCCTGAGGGGCCCTTCCTGGGTCTCGCTGAGCTCTGACCCTGACTGCGTGACCCCTGGTCACTCCACTCGCCCCTCAGCACCTCTCATCCCCACTTAGGTTCCATGTCAGCTAACCTAGTGACATGGGGCCTGTGCGGGGGCTCCCTGGGCATCGTCCTGGGCAGGGCTTCCCACCGTGTTCAGGGGACGGGGTGTCGGGGTGGGTGGGCAGCAGGGACGCATCCGGGGCTGCGCCTGAATGCACTGTCAGCTCTCCGTAGCCCGGATGAAAGAAGCTCCAGGGGGAAGCCACATACTAATGTTCATAAATATGTGGTAAGTTGTGGGAAAGGAGACCAAAAAGGGGCAATCTTTTCTGCCTGATTTTGAATGTATTTGAAGCTGGACATGTGAGTCACTGGCTCAAAATCTTAATGATTGGGAAACACCATCAGAGATAGAGGGTGTGGGATTCTATCATGGATTTTAAACTGTGGCGTCCACCTTTCTAGCACAGATGGCTCCTGGTCGTGTGCGTGGTAATGACCTGGCTGAGACTTAGGGTAGTTCAGCACTTTGCACGGTACTCCGGGCCGGGTGCATCCTGGGCCGCTCCCCGAGCTTGAAGGAAAGCTTCCCATCTCACTGTTCTATGTGTGTCTTTCATATAGGGACCTCGTGTTTACTATTCCTGGTTCCTTCAGTGTTTATCTTCAGAGTTTGTCAAACGTTGTCAACGACTTTTTCCCCATTAACTGAGATGATTGTGTGTTTCTTTTCCCTTCCTTCCTATTAATCGAGTGCATTAACATTGAGTGGTTTTTGTATGTTGAATATTCCTAGCCGTACAGGAATAATTCCACTTGTGGTCTGTACTGGATTGAATGTGCTGTTGAGTTTCATTTGCTCATATGTTAAGGATTTTTGCATCGATGTTCTTCAGGAATATCGGTCTCTACTTTTCTTCCTGTGTCTTTTTCTGGGTTCGGTATCAGAATCATGCGATTCCATACAAGTGTTTCTGAAGATTTATAGCAGAATTCGTGTTTATTCTTCTGTAAGTATTTGGTGGGCTCCTGGGGAAGCCTTCTGGTCCTGGGTGTGTGTTGGAGGTTTCTGAGGACTGCTTGACTCTCTAGTTGTAACTGTTCACATTTTCTTGATTATTCGGTGATGCGGTCTATGAGGTTGTATGTTTCTCTGAATGTACCCGTATTTTCTAGGATATGTAATTTCTTGCCATATAATTGCTCATAGTACTTTCTTGTAGACCTTTTTCAACATTTCTGTGATACCTGTTGCAGCGTCCCCCTTTCATTTCTGATTTACTTGAGGGCTGGTTTTCTCTCTCTCTCTCTCTCCCTCTCTCTCTCTCTCAGCCTAGCAAAATGTTTGTCAATTTCTAAATCTTTCAGAAAACCTGTTCTTGGTCTCTTGATTTTTAGGTAGTTTTCCTATTCCATTTCATTTCTCCCTGCTCTGATCTTAGTCCTTCTGCTAAATTTTGGTGCAGTTTGTTATTTTTCTGATTACTTGAGGTATAAAATCCTATTTCTGATTGGAGACCACTCCTTTTCTGTAATGTAAGACTTACCACTGCAGGCATCCTCCTCAGTGCTGCCGCCACTACGTCTCCCGAGTTCGCTGTGTTGTATTTCTATTTTTATCGTGATAGTTTTAAAAATCCATGTGATTTCTTCTTTGACCCATTTATTGTCTAAACATGAGGTGTATTATTTCCACATGTTGTCGAGTTGTCTGTTTTCCCTCTGCTATCTGTTTCTAGCTTCACTGTGGATAGAGAAGATACATATTATTATTTCAATCTTTGGATATTTCTGCTTTGTTTTGTGTCATAACATGTGGTCTGTCCTGCAGAATGTCCCACGTGTGCTTGTGTAGAAGGTGCCCTGCAGCTGCGGGGGGGTGTCCTTCCCGGCTGTTGGGCCCGTGGGGCTGTGGAGCTGTGTGAGTCCTCGGGCTCCTCCTTGCCCGTCTGGCTGGTTGTTCTGTCCATATTAACACTGGGGTGTTGGCCCTCATACTGTTTCTGTGATGCTGTTTCTCTGTCCCTTCAGTGTTTGCTTCATCGGTGTGAGAGTGCGGGCATGTTCGTAATGGCTGCATCTTCCTGGGAATGGTCCCTCTTGCCATTCTACTGTCCTTTGTCTCTTGGGACATCTCCCATTTGGCCTCTTTGCTGTGCCCTGATACGGCTGCTGCTGCTGTCTGGAGCGTCCCAGTGGCATCGAGGATCTTTCCCTCTTTCCTTTTGAGCCTCTCCCTGTCCTGAGAGTCGTGCGTCTAGTTTGCCTGGACAGTGGTGAATGGCAGGAGCCCTGGGCAGTGCCCTTTTCTCCACCTTCATTTCAGAAGAAAAGCACCCAGTGTTGTAGAGATCATGGCGTTTGTTGAAATTTCTAGTCTAGTGTAGTAACAGTTTTTTTCCCCAATATCCTTTCTTCATGATTTTTCGATTATTCAGTAGTTGTTTCTAGTGTTCATTTTTTGGTCTTTTTTTTTTTCTTAATGAGCTGTAATGTAATGTGTAAAGCTGATAACTTCCAAAGCTCGAGTCATTATTAGTGCAGTAAACAGTCTATTTGGCTTTGTTTAATGGCTACATATTGAAATTTGAGTGGATAAAATTACATATTTGTATATGGGTATTTTATAGGGAATAAAGTATTGTCAGTTTTTTTCCTTGTACTTTCCCCTTGTCCTCCTACTGAATGATGTTGACAAACTGAAATAAGTACCATTGATTTATTTTCATTGTCCCAAAGGTGGTGAAATACATACATAAAAGATGTTGATGAAAAAAAAAACAATCCAAAAATTAGTCGAGATGCACCTTTTCCCACGGCAGGTAATTGGTGTATTTGTAGGTACATGTACAAGTACATAGATGTGTAAGACCATTGTTGTTTTAAAAGACACCTTATGGTAAACAAGTTTATATTTTTAGCAATGGATATATATATATGGATATATATATAGATATAATTATCTTCAGTATGTTCCTTGGCCTTATACCTATTTCTTCCACTGTCCTGTTAATTATTTAAATGTACTTTTTGCATGCGTATGTGTGCATATATAATTTCCTTTTCTGCAGTCCCATGTAGTTAACCTTGGCATTATTTCCAGTTTCCTGGTGGAGGACCCTCTGTCCGGGTACTTTAGTGCTCTGTTACTTAGCTGTTGGATTCTTTCTGTTTAATTGTAAAGGTCGACCACCTGAGTTCAGGCGCTTGCTGTGTTGTTTCTTAGCTGTTGGACCAGAGGCCAGTTCCTCACAGTGGCTGTGACACTGTTTTACCTCTGTAACATAAGATGGGCACAGAACTTCCTCAGATGAACTATTAATGCTGATAACGTTAGTACATGTAAAGCATTGAGTAGCGCCCAGCATGATAGAAGCGTTAAAGCCTTTAAGCCTCTGCTCTTGCTGTCATTGCCATGTTTAGGTTCCTACTTTTCTTTAAAGGCTCTGTCGACTGTGTCGTCTCTGAGGACATGTCTCCTGATTTACTTCTTCTACATATGGGACATCACTCATGAAGAACGTAGTATCTGACACTTAGATATAGTGCACCCAGTGTTGAATTTGTATTTGTGTGTTTCATGTATTGTCCCCCAGATTGAGAAGTGTACAGATGAGGAGCACATCCTAGGGAAAAGCATAATGTATTAATGTTAGAGCCACATAACTTACTCAGAATTCCTACATGTGGATCTGTCAGAACATACAGTTCATCCACATCTCCCCCGACACCTCTGTCTCCCTATTTAGTGTGAGGATCTCTCCTCATGCCCCTTCATGAACTGTGTTTTCATTTCAGGGACGGTTGACCTTCAGGGATGTGGCCATCAGATCTCCCAGGAGGAGTGGAAATGCCTGGACCCTGCTCAGTGGGCCTCGCACCGAGACGTGATGCTGGAGAACTACAGGAACCTGGTGTCCCTGGGTGAGGATGGCGTTCCTGCAGAAGTGGGGATTGGGTATCTCTGCCCTTTCTCTGGTTTGCCTCCAAGGAACCCTCGCAGTGTGCCCCTTCCACTCAGACATAAGAGAGCTTAGTAATATGGCATCTGCACTTTCACTTTACTCCTTTTTCAAATGACACGTCTGAGATAAATATGTGTAAAGCCCTGTGCTGTGCTTTCCAGTAGCCACTTTTCTGTTTGCTACCTCTCTGCTTTTCATTCAGTAGTTCTTGAAAGATACTAGATATCTCACTGTTCCCTGTGCATTCAGGCGGCAGGTGATTGCAAGAGTTTGTGAAATAGTTTTCTAGACCTGTCTGAAATGTCCTTTCTCTACTCACCTGAACCTGGAGCTAGGATTCTAAAAATGCCACAGCATGTCCCTTTCCTGATAAACTGATTCATCCTGTGGCAAAGTCCATGGAAGGTGTAAACTTGGAAAATGAGGAAATTAT